GGGGACATAATTTTAGATTATGAAAAAAAAAAGTTATGAGGACAGACACTAAAGAAAAAATATTTCTTAAATAGTGGTAGACAGCTGCAATGACTTCCAAGGCAAGGCAGTGTGTTACAACTACTAGAAACTTTAAAGTTTTATATGACAAATTAATTATAGAAACCAAGATACCATGAACATTGCTCTACCCTTTTAACTATAAAAAGGCAATTATATACACTAACTCACACACACACCTTCCTTTTCCTTCACTACATCTTTCACACTGTCTCAGGCAATGAAATACATAAGTACATATCCCAAAAAATGGCCACATAAAGCGAATGTACATTTATGAAAAGTAATTATGAATGGCAAAACAATAACTAAAAAGTACAATCACAGCCATTTTTCCTCTTTCACTTAAAGAGTTACAGCTTTTGGTCCAAAAGTAATCCCATTATGTTTCTATTTCAAACAGCTGGCAAGGAGGAAGACTTGGACGCTCACAAAGTGTATTTGACTGTTTTAAATTGATCTTGATGTACATTATCTTCCAGGCTCGGTCCACTGGACTGCACACTAAGCCAGATTCTTGCTCAAAAATCCCTACCAATGCATTTTTATGATGTAATGTACCACAACAGCAAATCTTCACCAGTCCATGATCTGACTTGAAAGCTTGTGTTCCATTTTCCAAATTTGGACTGAAGAGAAGACTATATGCCATGAAATTTTCTCTTAAAAGTGCATAAGTGTTATCTCTACCCTGGGCATGTTTTCTCACCACATGAATGTCCAATAAAATAAATATCTGCAAAGCTATTGCTGTAAAAGATGTCTTCCCGAAAGGTGTCACCAATGTGGTGTGCACACACTGGCTGTAAGCGATTCACCATATTAAAATACCATTCGCAGAAATCTCTGGTGAAGTCATCACTCCTAATGACACTCACTATTGGCTGAGCAAAAGGTGTGACATCAAATTCAGATTCAGTATCGTCATTAGAAATATTTTTTCTACTTGAGTGCCTGAAACAGTACGATTTAGTGATCTAACTGCATTGGTGCTTGAAGGACTGTGTATAGATTTATTTCTATCAGTAGATGTGATATCTTCAGTTTTATCAGTGTTTGTGCTAGCTACTCTAAGTCTACCACTAGAGACATTGCCTTTTCTACCTTTGGGACTTTCAATTTCAGGATCTGAAGATGCCCTTCGTTTTAAAGTTGTAGGCTTTGACACAGCTTTTCTGCCACACTGCTTTTCCTGAAAAAAGGTGAGCATAACATTTAATAAATTTCATTACAATAATCCTGTGTGGAGAGACCATCATCTAGGAAGGTTGGCAAAGCATCATAGAAGACAGCTGGAGAAAATACAAAAGGCAAACACTAAGACATTTTGTTATAACTGTTTTGACCCTGGGACTTTGGTCATTAAGTACTGAAATATATCAAATGCCCTAATGTTTTCACTTAGTATCTTTTTCCAACTACTTATTGGTATCACATTCCATATTTACCAGTATGTTATAGACAAACAAAGATATTCAGCAACATATCTTTTCATAACACAATACTGTACTTTTGCTGCTCAGTAGTATCCAGTCACTCCATAAACTAATTGTTAATTATTACACAAAAATTTTCACAAATAAATTATCAATCATGCATAAAATTTAATAATTTACAAGCTTTGAAGGAATAAACAAACATTTTCTGGATCAAATTTTTTCACACTATACAGAAATTTTTTTTGATTTGGTAAATTTATTTAACCTCAAGAAATTTAATGGAAGTAAATATCAGGTGGGGATATAGTTTTGGAGTGGTTGGTGCAATTATTTAATAAATGTATGGAAGAGGGTAAGGTACCTAGGGATTGGCAGAGAGCATGCATAGTTCCTTTGTATAAAGGCAAAGGGGACAAAAGAGAGTGCAAAAATTATAGGGGGATAAGTCTGCTGAGTATACCTGGTAAAGTGTATGGTAGAGTTATTATTGAAAGAATTAAAAGTAAGACGGAGAATAGGATAGCAGAAGAACAAGGAGGCTTTAGGAAAGGTAGGGGGTGTGTGGACCAGGTGTTTACAGTGAAACATATAAGTGAACAGTATTTAGATAAGGCTAAAGAGGTCTTTGTGGCATTTATGGATTTGGAAAAGGCGTATGACAGGGTGGATAGGGGGGCAATGTGGCAGATGTTGCAAGTGTATGGTGTAGGAGGTAGGTTACTGAAAGCAGTGAAGAGTTTTACGAGGATAGTGAGGCTCAAGTTAGAGTATGTAGGAAAGAGGGAAATTTTTTCCCAGTAAAAGTAGGCCTTAGACAAGGATGTGTGATGTCACCGTGGTTGTTTAATATATTTATAGATGGGGTTGTAAGAGAAGTAAATGCGAGGGTCTTGGCAAGAGGCGTGGAGTTAAAAGATAAAGAATCACACAAAAAGTGGGAGTTGTCACAGCTGCTCTTTGCTGAGGGACACTGTGCTCTTGGGAGATTCTGAAGAGAAGTTGCAGAGATTGGTGGATGAATTTGGTGGGGTGTGCAAAAGAAGAAAATTAAAGGTGAATACAGGAAAGAGTAAGGTTATGAGGATAACAAAAAGATTAGGTGATGAAAGATTAAAATATCAGATTGGAGGGAGAGAGTATGGAGGAGGTGAATGTATTCAGATATTTGGGAGTGGACGTGTCAGCGGATGGGTCTATGAAAGATGAGGTGAATCATAGAATTGATGAGGGGAAAAGAGTGAGTGGTGCACTTAGGAGTCTGTGGAGACAAAGAACTTTGTCCTTGGAGGCAAAGGGGGGAATGTATGAGAGTATAGTTTTACCAACGCTTTTTATGGGTGTGAAGCATGGGTGATGAATGTTGCAGCGAGGAGAAGGCTGGAGGCAGCGGAGATGTCATGTCTGAGGGCAATGTGTGGTGTGAATATAATGCAGAGAATTCGTAGTTTGGAAGTTAGGAGGAGGTGGTGGGATTACCAAAACTGTTGTCCAGAGGGCTGAGGAAGGGTTGTTGAGGTGGTTCGGGGCATGTAGAGAGAATGGAGCGAAACAGAATGACTTCAAGAATGTATCAGTCTGTAGTGGAAGGAAGGCGGGGTAGGGGTCGGCCTAGGAAAGGTTGGAGAGAGGGGGTAAAGGAGGTTTTGTGTGCGAGGGGCTTGGACTTCCAGCAGGCATGCGTGAGCGTGTTTTGATAGGAGTGAATGGAGACAAATGGTTTTTAATACTTGACGTGCTGTTGGAGTGTGAGCAAAGTAACATTTATGAAGGGGTTCAGGGAAACCGGCAGGCCGGACTTAAGTCCTGGAGATGGGAAGTACAGTGCCTGCACTCTGAAGGAGGGGTGTTAATGTTGCAGTTTAAAAACTGTAGTGTAAAGCACCCTTCTGGCAAGACAGTGATGGAGTGAATGATGGTGAAAGTTTTCTTTTTCGGGCCACCCTGCCTTGGTGGGAATCGGCCAGTGTGATATAATAATAAATATCATAACACTAATGGCTGCTTGCCAGTTTTATATAAAGTGACCCATAAAATAGCAAATGCATATTCATTCATCTTTACATATGTTCCTCTTTAAGAGTGGGAAGATTCTGTGTACTGTGTTTGGAAGTCTCTCTTTCCAGCATAGTTCATGGATGAGGATCCAAGCACTGTCTTTGGTTGAAATGACAGAGATTTCCTCATCTACTAAAATTTCTGAATAAATGATTCCAATGGATTTATCGCTCATGAGCAAAACAAACAAATCTCTCACATTCAACTGCATCACACATGCAAATAATGTTATATACTGTGATCAAACTTAAAAAAAAAAAAAAGTACGAATAAAACTCAGATTCAAACAATAGCAAAAGCAATTACATTCTCTCTCCTCAGCTAAAGGCTTAACAGCTCACCCATAAGTCCTTCACAGCCATGATCATTGATTTTTATTGGCAAAACCCCTCGATGGTACTTGATACTTGTGGAGATACAAAACAGTGTTTGTGCAGACAAGCGACGGTAGGAAAAGAACGTCCCAAGTCTGGAGTGTGCAGGAGAATAATTTCTATGGCCTCTGTAACAAATTATGTTTGTGTATTAATTAAGTTGCAAATATATAAACATACACTTCTTAACAAAAAAGTGAATAGATGAATTGAAAGCTAGTTTTTTATGAACACTGTGCACAAATTTGCTACCTCTGTAGTATATTGGTGCTAAATAATTTACTGATACTTAAGAATGCACTTCTAAATACGGTTATTACAATAAAAAAAAAAAATTTTTCTGTGAATGAATGAACATTAGTTTATGAAATCAGAGCTTAATCTCCTTTTAATTCATAACATCAGCTGTGGAAGCTGTGGTAGTACAGTAGACACAAAAGTGAATATCTTGACATTCAAAATGTGGAAAGCTGTTATACAGCAGATAAAGTAATTATGACAGCAAAAGGAAGCCTGATTTTGTAAAATTTAATTCTTATATGGACTAATATACTGTGAATGGTAAGAATCTATAGGAACACATATAATGCAGAAAGCACACCTTATCAAAATCCAGATTTTTGGGCATTTGTGATTTCTAGAGATTACAGATGTGCTACAAATGTTGGAAAAACAAGCAAAATAAAACAAAAGTAAAAGTATTATACTACCACTAGAATTAAGAGGCAAAATGCGGTTGTTTGTGGATGTCCGAGCCAGAGCGAGTAGAGCTTCAGAATCTAACATTTCAAGTAGCCCACGCACACCGGCTTCATAGATGGAGTGAAGGAGGCTCATGACTGAGGAAGACCTGCAACAATCAGCATATTATAAAAAAAAAAAAAAATTGACAATGACAGAAAAAGAGAGAGAGAGAGAGAGAGAGAGAGAGAGAGAGAGAGAGAGAAAGGAGACATCTCACTCCTGCATTTTCACACAGCATATTCTACCAAATGATTGAAATTATTAATAAAAATTATTATACTGTTACAGTAATAATCATGGTGAACAGGAGTAACAGGTGTAAGGAAACATGCTCATTTCCACTCGCCTGAGAACTGAACCTGGGTCCTCCAGTTATGAGTTGAGAGGTACTACTAATGAATAATGAGCTAAAGTTATGGTCACTTTACCCCTCTCCAATACCATGTTCATTTTGATATAATGCTTAATGAAATCAATGCATCATTATACTCCTAGGGAAGTGCTGTACCAATATGGTTCAGACAAACATCAGGGAAATTACAACCTGTGAGGAATTACAACCTACAGAATGTAACATGAAGTTAGTAAGTAAACTACAGTGTTTAAAATACACTCATTAATGTACAGTGTATAACAAGCAGTAACCTACAGTGTATAATACATAGTAACATACAGTGTATAACACATAGTAACATACAGCATATAACAAGCAGTAACATGCAGTGTATAAAAAGTACTAATACAATATATAACAGTAGTAAACATAGTGTATAATTTTGCACTAACATACAGCATAAACACGCACTAACATACAGTGCATAACATACACTAACGTACAGTGTATAACATACACTAACATACAGTGTATAACATACACTAAAAATACAGTGTATAACATGCACTAACATACAGTGTATAACATACACTAACATAGTGTATAACATACACTAACATACAGTGTATAACATACACTAACATACAGTGTATAACATACACTAACATAGTGTATAACATACACTAACATACAGTGTATAACATACACTAACATACAGTGTATAACATACACTAACATACAGTGTATAACATACACTAACATACAGTGTATAACATACACTAACATACAGTGTATAACATGCACTAACATACAGCATATAACATACACTAACATAGTGCATAACATACACTAACCCTACAGTGTATAACATGCACTAACATTTCAGTGTATAACATACACTAACATACAGTGTATACATGCACTAACATACAGTGTATAACATGCACTGAAGTTAAGACACGTGTGCAACCTCTGGGTATCTTTGTTGTAGATGTTTCGCCATCCAGTGGCTTTATCAATACAAATTCCAGGACATAACTTGAAGACAGTAGAACTATATACAGAAGATGAGGTAATCAGTCCCTCAACTGTATATAGTCCTACTGTCTTCAAGTTCCCACTGTCTTCAAGTTATGTCCTGGAATTGTATTGATAAAGCCACTGGATGGCAAAACGTCTACAGTAAAAATACCCAGATGTTGCACATGTGTCTTAATTTCATCTTGTCGGTATTATATACCATTCTTGCATAACATGCACTAACATACAGTGTATAACATGCACTAACATACAGTTGTATAACATGCCACTAACATACATTGTATAACATACACTAATACAGTGTATAACATAACATAACATACAGTGTGTAACATACACTAACATACAGTGGTATAACATACACTAAACATACAGTGTATAACACAAATAACCCCACATAAAAGAGAGAAGCTTACGACGACGTTTCGGTCCGACTTGGACCATTGACAAAGTCAACTAACCAGAAGTGGAGCAGGATGGCTATATATAGGCAGGAAGAGTGGTGGTAGTAGCAGTTAGCAGTGCAAGAATGGTATATAATACCGACAAGATGAATTAAGACACATGCGCAACACCCGGGCATCCCTATCATAGACGTTTAGCCATCCAGCCAGCCACTGAATGGTGAAACGTCACACAAAGACAACCAGACGCCACACAACAGATTTTTCCTTTTCGTTTACCGAAAACCTATGCACAGTGACATGTACATTCACTACTTTTCCTATCATGCTTCTCCGTCAAGGAAAAGTGTTCTTATCTCCCTCTTTCTCCGTGCCCTCCGCATCTGTGATCCTCAGTTCCTTCCAGCAGAAATTTCCACTCTTCATAATGTAGACAGCCTGTACTGTCTGCACAAACAGCCCATGCTGTCTGCCAGCTTAGTTCATATTTCGCGCCACTTCAGTGTTGCCTCTGTAGCCAGGCTTCTCGGTAGGCACGCCACCTGTCTGCCCATGCCTCGCTCTCACTCACACAGCGGCCTAGCAGCAAGACACAAGGCCTACTAGCTCTCTCTCGTGGGATGGCCCTCCCGGGCCATGGGCACAACACACAAGCCATGTGTACCCACCACGACTTAACATAAGTAAGAAGCCTCCGAAGATTTAAGTTGTTCAATGTGGATAGATCTAATGGGAAGGGGGGAGGAGTTGCATTATATGTTCGAGAAAATATTAATTGTTGCTATAAAAACAGGTATAAAAATAGATGGAGCAGTAACAGAATCTGTTTGGGTAGAGTTCGTAGAGGGTCAAGAAAACTAATTCTAGGTGTAATATACCGACCTCTAGGCTTGGATCCGAATAGAGGGGACTTCTTTGGGACGAAATTGTTAGGGTTCTAGACACAATACATTAGTCATGTAGGGGACTTTAACTTTATCAAATTGACTGGAATTCTTTGACAGGTAATCTAGAGTCAGTGACTTTATGGAAACAGTTCTAGGATGTTTCTGAAGCAGAGCGTAACAGAGCCCGGGAAAATTGTAGCCCTTTTTTGCAAATAAAAAATGGATAAAGGGGGGTCTGAAACTTTTCCCGTAAAAAAAATCCATACTTTTTGAAATGGGGTGAA